AACGAAGTATGGCCGCGGCCGCGCAGCGCCTCCAGAATCAGCAGGGACAGCACCAGCACCCCCAGCGTCAGCTCCAACTCCTGCAGCACCAACTGCTCCAGCAGCACCTCTAGCAGCTCCAGTAGCGCCAACTCCAGCACCCCCAGGAGCACCGGCTCCAGCAGCACCTCCAGCTCCAGTACCTCCAGCTCCAGCACCAGCAGGACCACCAGAAGCCCCAGCAGCCCTAGCAGCACCAGGGCCAGCACCTCCAGCAGCACCGGGTCTAGTAGTACCGCCAGCTCCAGCACCTCCAGCAGCTCCAGCCCTAGTAGCACCACCAGGCCCAGCAGCTCCAGTACCTCCAGTACGAGCACCTCCGGGACCAGTGGCTCGAGAACCCCCAGCAGCTCCAGCAGCAGCAGGACCTCCAGCGCCCGTAGCACCACCAGCTCCAGCAGCACGGCTCCAGCGGCGAGCAAACCACTCGCGCAGCTGCTGTGGAGAGAGTGGCTCCCGCCAGGACGAAGCACCCGAAGGACCTCCAGGCGCAGCACCTCCAGACTCCACACGCGCAGGCTCAGCACCCCCAGGCTCCGCGGCCGCGCCTGCTCGTTAGGCCCGGCCGCGGGCCCGCTCGTCCCGTCGCCGCGCCTGCTAGTTAGGCCCGCTGCGGGCCCTCCCTTACAGTGGCCGCGGGCCCTCCCTTACAGCCGCCGCGCCTGCCCGTACCGCCCGCCGCCGCGCCTGCTCGTTAGGCACGGACCCTCAGACTCAGCAACCCCAGGCTCAGCACCCCCAGACTCAGCACCCCCAAGCTCAGCACCCCCAAACTCAGCACCCCCAGGCTCCGCACGCTCAGGCTCAGCACCACCAGGCTCCGCACGCTCAGGCTCAGCACCCCCAGACCCGGCACCCGCAGGCTCAGCACCCCTAGCAGCACCAGAGTCAACAACTACCTCGACAAGCTCGACTGCGTCTACCTAGGACACACCTGAGGGGGCAGGACCCTGAGGGGGGAGGGGGTCTACTGGAGGAGGACCTGGCGCGAGGAAAAACGGCGGGGGGGGGAGGGGGGCAGTGCGGTAGGGGAAGAGACGGTAGTAAGGAACCGACTCGTCAAACGTGACGTCCTGGGAGGACAGAACACTGCGCGAGGTAGGGTGGTAAAACTGTCAACCAGGCGCGTCAGGGGGGAAGCCAAGGAAGACGCAGGGAACAGCACGGGAGGACAGCTTGTCCGCAGACAACCGCGGACGAAAGCTCGAGATCCCCAGACACGGAACGCAGACGCATCGCCAACCTTCCCCGTCCACCGCAGAGTAGGGGAGGTCTCCGGCATGGAGACCCGGGGCTGGAGGTTGATCTGATGCGCCGCGTACTGAACCGCGAACGGCCACAGAAAATGGGGAGCAGCCGCATGGATCATGGACGTACGAGCGACGTCCATGACCATGCCAATGCGGCGCTCAGCAATCCCATTTTGCAGTGGAGAGGCCGGAAGCGTGAACGTCTGGCGGATGCCCTCCGCACGACAGAAGGCTCGCAGAAGGTCGGAGGAAAACTCTCCACCTCTGTCGGAGTGCAGACGCAGAATAGGAAAGTCCGAGCCGAAACTCTCTCTGAGCTGGAGACGGGCAGCGCGGATCCAATCGATCAACACCTCAGTGACGTCACCCTTGCGGCGCAAGGGGAAAACTGTGATGTAACGCGAGTAGTCGTCATCAACTAGCAGGAAGTAACGCTCGTGACCCTGTCCACGGACGCGGGCTGAGCCCCACACGTCCATGTGGAGAGTCTGCACCTGAGCCTCTGTCGGAGGAAACTCGGAGGAGTGAGGAGCGGCGCGCTGCCGGCCCTCGACGCAGGGAACACAGGTAGGGGCAGGCCCCGGAGGAAGGGGAGGGAGGGACCGGGGGAGACCAGAGACAAGGACACGGGAGGTCATGCCTCGGAGACAAGGCAGGGAGGGGTGACGAAGGCGGTGGTGCCAGAGGAGAGTCTGGTGAAATAGGAGGCGACACGAGCAGGGGGCAGACTCAGGACATGACCGGGACGCTGCAGCAAACACCTGACCCGACGCAGCTACCTGACCAGACGCAGCAACCGGAGGAGACACGGTAGTCAGGGTGTACAGGATCGACCCAAGCTGACGGGTGAACGTGGCCAGGTGCCAGCCCGTCCGAGTACACGAACAGTGGGTCACCCGCTGACCTTCAGGAGTGAACTGGTCAACCCACGCGTCCTGAAGGTCAGCTCCACTCACCAAGTTCGTGGAGAACGAGGGGAGGTGGAGGCCAGACAGAGAGCCAGACGGGACCGCCGGACACGGCAGAACCGTGGAGGAGTGTGCAAGGACCGGACCCCCAGAGGGGTCAGCCAGAGAGACTGCCACTGGCCGACTGAGCGGCGAGAGTGTGGTGCAGTCGCGAAAGAAGGAGCGGGAAGCACCCGAGTCAAGCGTGAAAGTGTGCAAGGCCGCAGCAGGCGTAGTACGAGAGAGAGCAGACTCACAAGCACCTGGAGGAGTGGGCTCCCTAGCGCCTAGAGCAGCAGCCTCACCGGCACCTGGAGCAGGAGACGCACCAGCACCTAGAGCAGCAGCCTCACCAGCACCTAGAGCAGCAGACTCTATACCTAGGTCATGCGGCACACACAGGTAACAGGCACCCTCAGCACTAGTAGGCAATGCATACATGGCAGTGAGGATAGCATCATAGTCTAGAGCAAAGATATCTACCCTCTGCCTAAGCAGCTCCACCCAGTCGGGGAGCTCAGCCGCGTCGTCAAACTCTGTACGCCATGCGTCGCTCAGACGGGAGAAGCAGCGGGACTCTGTGTGACCAATCGTCCCGCAAGGCTGACCAACCCGAGCACCAGTGCGAATGACGTACGGGCAGCGAGCAGTACTCCGTGACCCTCCACTCTGAGCGTACCACTCACGAAGCTGCTGGGGCGAAAGGACCGCGCGCGGACGCCGCTGCCGCTGCACCTGGTCACTACAAGAAGCTCCCGAACGACCCGCTCCAGGGCGACTCCCACCACGGCCACCCCTACAACCCCAACTAGCGTACCACTCACGAAGTTGCTGGGCGTGAGGGACTCACGCGGACGTCGCTGGAGCTGCATCTGGCCACCGCCAGGAGCAGCAGTAGCAGCAGTAGCCGCAGTAGCAGCAGTCGCAGCAGTAACAGCAGTAGCAGCAGTAGCAGCGCGGCCACCCCTACAACCCCAACTAGCGTACCACTCACGAAGCTGCTGGGGCGTGAGGGACTCACGCGGACGTCGCTGGAGCTGCATCTGGCCACCGCCAGGAGCAGCAGTAGCAGTAGTAGCCGCAGTAGCAGCAGTAACAGCAGTAACAGTAGTAGCAGCAGTAGCAGCAGTAACAGCAGTAGCAGCAGTAGCAGGAGTAGCAGTAGCAGCAGCAGTAGCAGCAGAAACAGTCGTAGCAGCACGGGCAGGGCAGTGTGGCAGCGCGCTAGTAAGGCAGGCGCGCGGGAAGCGCGGGTAGGGCAAGTGCTCACTAGTGGCGGGAAGGGCAGTCGCTCGCCGTTCGAGCACGGTAGGCGCACGATGGCGGCGACGGCGGGGCCGGGACAGCTGCAGGGCGGGGCCGCGACAACGGCAGGGGGCTCCTCGGCAGCTGCTGCAGGGCGGGGCCACGACTGCTGTAGGCGGCTCCGCGGCAGCTGCAGCAGGGCGGGGCCGCGACGGCGGCAGGGGGGCTCCGCGGTAGCTGCTGCAGGGCGGGGCCGTGACTGCTGCAGGCGGCTCCGCGGCAGCTGCTGTAGGGCGGGGCCGCTACGGCGGCAGGAGGGGGCTCCGCGGCAGCTGCTGCAGGACGGGGCTCCGAGGCAGCTGCTGCAGGGCGGGGCTCCGCGGCAGCTGCTGCAGGGCGGGGCTCCGAGGCAGCTGCTGCAGGGCGGGGCTCCGCGGCAGCTGCTGCAGGGCGGGGCTCCGCGGCAGCTGCTGCAGGTCGGGGCTCCGCGTCAGCTGCTGCAGGGCGGGGCTCCGCGGCAGCTGCTGCAGGGCGGGGCTCCGCGGCAGCTGCTGCAGGGCGGGGCTCCAAGGCAGCTGCTGCAGGGCGGGGCTCCGCGGCAGCTGCTGCAGGGGGGGGGGGGGGGGCGCGACGAGCAGGGGCGACGCCGCGGGGGCGCCGCGACGAGCAGGGAAGGCGCCGCGGGGGCGCCGCGACGAGCAGGGAAGGCGCCCAGGGGGCGCCGCGACGAACAGGAACGGCACCCATGGGGCGCCGCGACGAGCAGGGGCGATGCCCCGGGGGCGTCGCGACGAGTAAGGACGGCGCCCAGGGGGCGCCGCGACGAGCAGGGGCGACGCCCGGGGACTTCGCGACGAGCAGGGACGGCGCCAAGGGGGCGCCGCGACGAGCAGGGGCGCCGCGACGAGTAGGAGGGGGACGCCGCGCGGGTCCCGCAGGGGCGTCGCAACGAGCCCGGTTTAGGGCGGCGCGCGGGCTGCAGAGGCAGCTCCCACGGGCTGCAGAGGCAGGCACGGCTGCAGAGGCAGCGCCCACGGGCTGCAGGGGCAGGCACGGCTGCAGAGGCAGCACCCACGGGCTGCAGGGGCAGGCACGGCTGCAGGGACAGGCACAGCTGCTCGGGAGGGCGGCGCGCGGGCTGCAGGGGCAGCTCCCACGGGCTGCAGAGGCAGGCACGGCTGCAGGGGCAGGCACAGCTGCAGGGGCAGGCACGGCTGCAGTGGCAGCACGGTCGCAGGGGCAGCACGCGGGCTGCAAGGGCAGCGCGGCCGCAGGGGCAGCTAAAAAAAAAAAATCAGTTAGGGCAGGGCGGAACGTTCGGTGGGCCCTAGGAACGATTCTGCTCTAATACCATGTGAGAATTAGAACGAGGAATGGATTGACTAGGAATGAGAAAGGTACAAGTATGAAACCCTAAAAAAGTTGTACCCCCTATTGGCTACCCCACTACAGCCTACACAGGCTATATCATGTATGTCTGACAGGGAATGGGAGAGCGGAGACACATCCGCACAGAGACTTATGAGAGGGGTGCAGGGGACAATGAGGTGGAGGCACGAGACGATGCCGTGGGGAAGAATTCGTGTAGGAGAAAGCGGGTGTGGAGCTGGAAAATGGGGGAGGGGAGGGGAAAACAGGGGAACGGAGGGGAAAGGAGGGGAACAGGGGAAAGTAGGAGAACGGTGGAAAGGAGGGGAACGGGGGAAAGTAGGAGAACGGTGGAAAGGAGGGGAACGGGGGAAAGGAGGAGAACAGGGAAAAAAAGGGGAACGGGGGAAAGGAGGGGAATGGAGGGAGCGGGAGAGAGCAGTGAGGTGGGTGCAGGTTAGGCGGATACCCAGCAGGAGGGTGGCAATGGGGATGGGGAAGGAGAAGTTGAAGGGAAAGAGGATGAGGCAGAAAATGGAGAAAGGTATCGGGGAGGGAATGGAAGGGGATGGGGATGGAGTGAGGCTGCGGGTGGGAAAGTGTTTAGGGGAAGGGGGTGGAGGGACAATGATGGAGTGTAACGGTTTCCCTATGCACGCATGGTGGGTGATCCAAAGAAGGGTCCCCATGGAAGAGGCCTCAAGGGATTCGACCTTGGGGTATTGAGCCTCCTGAGGAGGAACACAACCGCCTGAGGAGGCTGCCCAGAGACTCTGTTCACCGATGTATTGAAATGTACAACCTGCACCGCAACGAGTCAACCGTTAGGTTTGGTTCGACTTAGAATGCCCAGCTGCTATGAAACAACAGGGGTTTGGCATGGAAACCTGGACATCTAGGGCAGGAAATTCGCAGATTTTGCTTAGATCCATGAAAGATGCTGTTGCGGAACCGGTTCTACAGCCTCTTCCATCGAGACCTATGGGTTTTGGTTCAGTCAGTTCGACAGGTTTGACTCAATTTCGGTACATGCTCAACCATACCTGAGAGTGACCTGTTACTGGTCTTGGCACGCACCTTGTAAGACCCACCAGTGACCACCTGCTCCCTCACACGTCGATCCTATTTCAGCGCGCCCAACAGCCTGGCCCAGCCTTGCCTTTCAGACATCACCCAGGAGTGACTCCCAAGTAGCCCACTACCCCATCCACACCACCACAACACACCCCCTCTCCCGATGCTCACCTATGCAAAACAACACACCTCCTGCAGCCGCTGCTCGCCCTTGAGCGACAACACCACCATGGGGCACCCAGCACCCCCCCATCTCCGCCACGCCAGCAGCACACAGGTTGGCGTTGAACAGCACGTCCGGTCCACAGCGGTGGGAGTTGTTGTAGGAAAAGCAGGTGCGGTGAGGAGCTGTCGACGGGGAGGGGGGGGGAGATGACGGGGATCAAGGGCGGTGAAGGTCCAATGCTGGTGAACGGTGCGGCCGTGTTGTAAGAGAGGGAGCTTGTAGGGCAGGGATAGGAGAACCCGTGGGGTGGGAGTCCGTGTAAGAGGAGCAGGTGCGGAGCTGAGGGGAGTGGGGAAGGGGAGAGCGGAGAGGGGAGCACGACACCTCAGCACTGTGATTTATGCGAGGGGTACGGGAGACAGTGAGGTGGGGGCGCGAGTCTGTGCGGTGGGGCAGAAGTCGTGTAGGAGAAGCAGGTGCAGTGCTGGAAAGCGCGGGAGCGGAGGGGAAAGGCGGGGGAAGGAGAGGAACGAGGAGAACGGAGGGAAAAGAAACAGTCCGACGCTTGTCTCACTTTTAAGAATTCTGAAGAAAGTACGAAACGAAGTTCGGACCAAAGGTGCAAAACAGTGCTAGAAAGCTGAGAGAAGTGGCGGGAGTGAGTGCAGAGAGTGCAGTGGGGCAGGCAGAAATCAGCAGGAGACACGTGGGAGGCAGGCAGGGGACAGGGACATGTGGGGGAGTGGGAAAGGCAGGTGCACAGCTAAAAGGGCAAATATTACTTTTCCAGCAGCGGCGTCGCTGGCAATGGTGCAGGCATCATCGAGGCGGGGCGAGGCGAGGCGAGTCGGGGCGAGGTGCAACTCGTCTGGTTTAACAGCGGTGGTGAAGCCCCCACACCCACATTGCAGCTTGCAGGCCCAGGCTTTCCAATCCAATCTGACTGCACGGTCTCAATTCGCCGGGGACGAGAGGCGAGACGGGTCGGCAGAGCCTGGCGTTGGGTTAGGGGATTGGAATGGGGAGGGGATGAGAGACTGGGGTCAGGGGAGGGTGAGGGAGGGAAAAAAAGGGGGGGTATGGGTGAAGGGAGACGGTAAGGGGAGGGGGAGTCGGTCAGGGCAGGGGAAAGGGTGAAAGGGAAGGGTAAGGGACTAACGGGAGGGGGAGGAGGTAAGGGGAAGGGGAGGGGGGGTAAATGGGGTAAGGAGTGGGGAGGAGTGGATAAAGGAGGGCGTGGGGGTGAGTGAAAGGTGAGTGCTTTAGGGTAAGGATATGGCGTAGGGGAGCGTTCGAGGTGGTACTGAGGTGATGCCTTGGAAGCAGTGCGCCTGCGCGAGTGGGTAAGAGTGTGTGTGTGTGTGTGAGAAGCACGCAGGAGCGGAGTGGAGCTGGAGGCGGTCAGGGATGAGGGGCGAGTGGGAAGGAAGGGTTGGGAATGGGTGGGTACGGAGGATTTGGGAGGACTGTCTAAAACTCCCCTTGGCATTCCAAGGAGCATCCTAAATAGCCTCGGCCAGCCCCGTCAGCACAACCCCCCCTTCCCAGCGGCCTCTAGCCATCTCTCGAGTGACTCTCACACAACGCCATCCCTGCCCCGCAGAGATTGCTCAGAGCTCTCACATTGGCGACATCAGCTTGTCAACCGCACCCTCCACCAGCCCCATCAAGCAGAAAGCCCCCCTCACCCCCCCCTTCGCCCTCCTTTCCTCAGCCCCCCTTTCACCCGCTCTTGACCGCGGCCCCCACCATTCCGAGTGACTCGCACACATCCCACCCCACAGCAACCCCTCAGAGCCTCAACGTCACCATATCTTGCACAGCCACTACCCGGCCCATGGCTGGTAGCGCCAAGTGCATCCTCCATTACCTCCGCCAGCCCACGGAGCAGCCCCTCCTTCACCACTTCCTCGCCCAAATTGCCACCCTTCCCACCTCCACCACTGCCGCAGCACATTCTGCCTCCGCCATTCTTCTCCCTCATCTTTTCCTTCTCTTCTCTTTCTCCTTCAATGTACCCATACCCTTCTCCTGTTGTGCGTCCACAGGGGCGCTGACCTCACCAACATCGCGTAACTGGTCAGATTTCGCAAAGCCTGCGGCTTCACTATCAGTCGCCGAGCCGCACAACACCCATCCTCCGCCTTCACTCGCGCAATCCGCCTCCTAGATCGCGGTTCCAACTTCCCAGTCGCCCTCCCAAAGCAGAATCCGGATTTGCATTTCGTTCGTGAGCTTTGTGACGATTCTGCTTTTCCGTTCGGTATTAGGGTTCAGGCAGGGACGCTGCTCATCCGCGCTCATGATCGGCCGATAAACTACGGATACGCGAACAGGAGCAACAGGGAATTCGAATGAACCAAGTAATTCGTGATAATAGAAACTTAGTATTTTTCCTCTGTAGGCGGCTCGGAAAAACGTGGTCACACAATCACACGTGGCTTGAGCATCGAGCCTAAGATGAAGGGCGACAGCACGATGGATCTGCAGTCCCGTAGCCTCGGGAGCTCGGAACTGGCAGCCTGCCAAGGGAGGCATTGAAATCGAATGTATGAGCCGAAACTCATTGCTCTTCCTGTTCTAGCTAGCTAGTTTGAGAGGGTGCCTCAGATGTCTGAGTCCACGTGGGTACGACTCGGATCTGACGGACCAGTTCAAGAACCAGCGCGTGAACCAGGGCGGACCGGGACCAGGATGTGGGGCTTGTAACCCCGTTATACCGTCCGAATGGCACTAAAACGGGCCATTTATTTGGCCCTCCAGACCAGTCCGCGCCTGGTCCGTAAACAGTGGGTGGGGAAACATTTGTTTTGGCGAAATTTCTTGTTTTGCAAGTTTCGCGTGAGATTTTTGTGCAGACGAAGAAAATGGGTAACTCAATTTCAAATTCGTTGCTACTGCTGCATCTCGCAAATACTGTGCAGCCCGAAGCGCGACGCATCAGGCAGACCAGTCCGTGTCTGGTCCAACGCTGGTCCGCCAAGTGGGTCCGTCGGACCAGAACCCCGGACCAGGCCTATAGATTCTGGTCGCGGACCAGATCAAGCGGACCCTCCACATGAGACACGTCCTGAGCCTCCACGGCTTGGTAGCAAGTAACGCATTCGGCCTGGTCGGAACTTGAGATTCCACAATCTGACGGCTGGTAACAAACTGTAACCAGGGTTTGTGTGGCGGAAAAGCTGGACATTTTCGAGCCTATGCTCTGGTCGGCCCAGCCAGGTTCGGCTTTTTTGGGGAACGAACTCTGTTTGGTGTGGAGGGAATGACAGGCGAAGCACAAATCCCAGATGGTTTCGCCAAGGCCGATGACGACAAGTGCAAAGGCTGGCACAAGCCCTCGCAAGGGGGTAACCCAGGTGGTTCGGATCGGCCGTAATCGAAACTCCAACCGAATACTTCTTGCCTTGTTCCAAGCAGGTCCACCGTGCGACGTTGTTGTATCACTTGTCGAGCCGAATGTCGTTTTCAGGACGTATGCTGTTACTAATGTCGAACACGGCATCCGACGTTCGATTGCCTTGGGTCACATTTGTCTTCCCTCCTCCCACCTCTCATATCTCCACTCCTTGGCAGATCTCACTCGCTCTTGATACTAGTCTATCGCGCGGATCTGGATCCACTCCGTTAGTACCTGCTGTCCCCGTGAGTTAAGTTCTGGGAACATAACTCCCCCGTGTTTCATAATCGTAGCGTCGTTGGCCTAGGAGTTCGTAACGCGGGATCTATAGAGATCGCCTATTTTACCGGCGATCGAGGCTGTGAGCTGCAGTTTGGAGGGAATTAAGTCAAAACGTTAGTACTCATACACCGAGCTTTCACCTGCCGCGTTCTTTTCCTTCACTGACATGGGGTCGCGTAAAACTCACATCCACCACCTCTCTGACGACCTCTTGATCAGCATCTTCTGGCCTTCCGAACGATCAAAAGCATACACATCCGAGAGCGATAAACTTTGGAGTTCTCTTTCGCCGTTCACACCCACGTACTTTTACAACGCTTACTTAGAGATCTCACCATGGCGAAGAGACACTCCCATGCCGACCCCTCCGGCCTCCGCAGATGCCGCTCACAACCTTCTTATCTCCTCGATCTGCCGTCGCTGGCGGCGTCTCGCTCAGAGCCATGTCTCATCGCTCCTAGTAAAGGAACACCGCGTCGTTTCGCGTCAGGATGTTCTCAACGCCGTCGCTTGCTTTCCCAGCCTGACACATCTGCATCTGTCGGATGGAAGTGTTGAAGCTCTGGACAACACTTTCCTTGTTGACCTCGCCTCTCTTTGCCCCAGGCTGAGAGCACTGCACGTTGGCAAGTTGATGGTTTTGAGTAGGGTTCGGATGATAGACGAATCTGGCTTGGATCATCTCTCGAGTCACTGCCCTCATCTAGAGCAGTTGTCGCTGTACTGGCTTGAGGAAAATGCCGAGCTCCCAGCTTCTTTCTTTCAGCTACCGTTGCGCATCCTCAACTTGGGCAATAACGCTTCCATCTTAACCGCTCCAAATCTCAGCTCCCTTTCGTCTCTCACTGCACTCTCCTTTGGAACCCCCTCCCTTTACTTCAACCAGATTTCCAGCCTGCTTCACCTCACCAACCTCACCCGCCTCTCCTTGCCTCGAATTAGCCGTTTTCTTCGAGTTACGCCTGACTTCTCACTCGCACAGCTACCTTCTCTCGAGTCACTGAGTTTCGGACTACAGCTTGCACAGTGTAGCGACTTTTTCCCGCCCCATTTTCAATACAGTTCCTTGAGGCGGTTGCAGCTGAACCGTTGCTAAATCGGAGAGCACCTTCCAAGCGGTTTTGAAGAGATGCTGCCGCGCCTCCAAGAGCTCAGCATCAGCAACTGGAGAAGCTTCAGCGGTCTGACTGATGAGTTCACCTCTCTGGCCTGCCTGGAGAGCTTGACCATTTCCTCATGCGATGTCGAAGAGCTTGATCAGTTCTCCACTCTGCCGGAGAACTTTGGGGATCTTCCGGCCTTAAAGTCGCTGGTGCTTCACAAGCTGCCGCTTTGTCATCTCCCTGCGTCCTTCACCAGACTCGCATCTCTGGAGACGTTTCTTCTAGTCGGGTGCGAGGAGATGGAGGAGCTACCTGCAGGGTTTGGATGCCTCTCAGCCCTCCGAACTCTCTCTCTTGTGTGCTCCCCGACCCTGAAGCTTCCAGAAGACTTGAAGGGGCTGACCAATCTTCAAACCTTCCATCTCAAACAGTATCGCGGAGAGCAGCTGCCGGCGTCATTCACGCAGCTGGCGTCGCTGACCAGGTTGGAGCTGGATCAGTGCAGGCTTGGTGGGCTGCCAGAGGGAGTGGGGGAGATGGCAAAGCTGCAGGAGCTGTTCATTCAATACTGCCCTGACATTACAGAGATTCCAGAATCTGTGTCAGGCCTTGTCAGCCTTCGGGTGCTCGTGATAGTAAATTGTGCCAGTCTCACTTCGGTTCCCAGGAGGCTGGACAGCCTTACCAGGCTCACGCAGCTGGAGGTGAGGGAGTGTGGGCTGCTGAACGAAGCCCCTCGGGCTCTGCCGTTCACTCTCCGGGCTCTGTCGTTTGTAAACAATGAGCCGTTGCTGTCGCTGCCTGGCATTTCAAGGCTGACAGAGCTCCGGAAACTGCACTTGGGCATTGTTGGCGTGAGATGCCTTTTGGCCATCGGTTACCATTGTTCTGCTCTGGAGCACCTGGAGCTGGCGCTGGGGGAAGTTGCGGAGGAGTTTCTGTTTGCATTGACAAGGCTCTCTCACCTCCGCACCTTGACACTCAAGGAGGTTCGCAGCTTGAACAGGCTGGTGCAATGTGGTGGCTCGGCATTGCAGGAGCTACGGCAGCTGAACATCCACACCACATGTGATGAACTCACAGAGATGCCTGCGGCCATCACCACTCTCCACCACCTCACATCCATTCGGGTCCTCTCGCCGAAGTTATCTTCCTTCCCAGATTCCTTGGTGGCGTTCTCAAGGCTGCGCAGGCTGGACTTATCCAAATGCTCATCGCTCACGCATCTCCCTGCGTCCCTCACGCAGCTCTCCTGCCTGTATGAGCTCCGGCATCCGGCTGCTTCCTGCTGGCTTGGCTCAGCTCAGCAGGCTGAAGAAGCTTGATTTCTATGACTGCAAGCAGCTGGAGGCTCTGCCTGACGACATATCCGATCTCACAATGCTTGATTTCGTTTCTACTTGGGGGTGTGACAGGCTTCAGCACTGAGTATCCGTTCAGCACTTGGGGTCATTACTGGTACCTGACAATATCTTACCTTTGGTTATGTCAACAATGTCAATCTGAGATTTTTTTCTTTCATGAATATAGAACCTGCTTATTGTAATTACCTTGACATTGACAGCTGGAAGGTCATGCATATACTGGTAGGCATCTATTTTATTTATTCATTCATTTGTTGTAGTTTTCTATTAATACCATTCAGTGCACATTTTATGGTGCTGTAATGTGCGGTGCGGTGGTGTGGTGCCAGTTGGACATGAGGACCAGAGGAAGCACGGGGCGAACCTGAAACTAGGTACTACCTCTCATAAAATACCGTATCACCCCGGATATAAGCGCAGGCCTATGTTAAGCGCATGCGCTTATATCTGGAGCAATGCGCTTATGGCCGATCCTCAATTATAAGCGCACCCCTTATAAAACCCTGATTTATTATAAGCGCACGTATAAACATGTAAAAAAAAACGGATTAAAACAGTAATGACTTCCCGTTTTGAAGCGAGTCCACATCCACTTCTACTCTGTTCGACTCCCTCGAGTGCGGGCTCGCTCAGGAAAAGCGCAACGGCGCGAAGTTGACCTGACAGGGGGGCTCGGGAACACCTGTTGTTGTCTGTGCGCTGCGAGGGAGCGACTGCAGGCTATTGGTCGTACACTGGGGCAAGCCTGTGCGATGCGAACGAGCGACTGCAAGCAGGGCCCAAAATTCAAGGGTGTTTTACCCTTTCTACCCTTGCTATGGGCCGCTTTTCTAGG